CAAGGTGACCACCGCTCTCTCTCTCTCTCTCTCTCTCTCTCTCTCTCTCTCACTCACTCACTCACTCACTCACTCACTCTCTCAAATCCGTACGTCCTCAATGCAAAGCTGAGAGGCTCGGCAACGAAACCGCGCTTTGCAGGCCGCGCTTTGCTTTGTCGTCAAATAAAGATGGCTTATCATGCGCTACAGAACATCCACAGGCGCACTTTAGCATCTTATCGTGTCAAGCAATCCCCACCGTTGGATCTCGACCCTTTACCAGACCATACGATCCAGGCCGTCCGTGCTCGATTTCCTCGATCAGGCGCCTTTGTTTCTGCTGGCTAGCTACTAGCTAGCTAGCTAGACCGGATCGAGATGAACCCTAATCCGCCGCTCCATGCATTGATCGACCTAGCTAGCTCGCATTCCATGCACACAGACAGGCCCCTCTTCCGGCCACGACCACACTATAAATTGAGGTGCGCCCTCTTCTCAGCTTCCCAAGACAGCAACGCTCCAACCACTGTCTAGGCACAGCTAGCTAGCGTAGCTGCTAATATTTCTCCGTCTCTCTCTCTCTCTCTCTAAACTACTGCAGAGCTCCTGAATAAAAAGCTAGTGTATTGCATTGCAAAGGTACGGTACAAAAGAGTTCGAGGTAGAAGAGAGCTGCAGGGCTAGTATATGGGAGGGAGGTTGTTCTTCTGCATCTTCAGCTTCTCACGCAAGTCGAGGCGTTACTCCGTCGACGAGGAGGCGGGCGAAAGCTGGGAGGTCCCGGCGAGGCTGCGCAAGGTGCGGTCCAGCGACGAGGACAACGGGTGGTGGGTCGGCGAGCGCGACGTCGACCAGAAGGCCTCCGACTTCATCGCCACCTTCCACCAGAGGCGCCTCGTCGTCTAGATGCTGATGCTGCGGCTGCTGCCGCATATATATGCATGCGTGCTGGCATTAATATATAATCTCGACGTCCAGGTTTATCATCGTCTACTACAAGAATTAGCTATAGCTATATATAGATCAACGACTGATCTTCTTCGAGCATATCTCAACACATATATATAGTCGTCACGTCGTACGTACGTGTATACTTAATCGTATATATATATTATATGCTCGGTGCTCGACTGAACAGGAATAATGTAATGTAGCCATATCCATATATATAGGTGTGTGTAAGAGATCTGGGTATGCATGCATGTATAATTGAGTGAATAATAAAGTTGATGATGGTAGTATGTAATATATGGGTGCTATATTTGAACTGATCTCTCTCTCTCAATAATCGATGTATTATAAAGTTGTGTGTTTTTATAAATTTCAAATATTATTTGTTCTGCTAAGCCAAATACATGCGAACTGGGTGTAACCGTAGCTGGTTGCTTGTGGTGAAACCTGTTCATCTAGGCTCGAGTTCTCGACTTCACACACGGGTGCTCGTAGACGACGTAAATGGTGAGACGCCTGTAATGACTTCGTCAATCCTGTTCGCTTGAACTTATCAGCCGTACCGTTTCAGCGAAATAACATTGTTTTTCTCTCACAACAAATCAGCATCAGCCGTTTTTTCAGCCAGTGATCAACAGAGACTCGGTCTCCATCTTTTAAAGGTGCTCATAACGGTAGGGTAAGTGTGCGTACATGTATGAGTGTATGTGTCTGTATTGTTATATATTCACAAAGAAAAAATTACAAGATACGTACTATGTATACTTGAAGGATATCCCGTGTGCACACAACACCTATAAAGTAATTCATGCATGTACTTTTACCAATAGCAACATACTTCTTGTGAATCAAGACAGTGCGGCTCTCAACATTGTCTATATATATACATCATGCATTTCTCATTTTATATTTTGTATTTTATATTTTCAGAAGCTGTCATACTATGCATGATGTCAATCTTTTTCTGCATAACTGGATGTGTAGTAGTAGTAAAAGATATTAAAATCACTGCTGGCACCTGCAAAAGAAAAATCTTATTACTAGTACTAATTTTTGTCTGTCATTTCTCGGACAATATATATGTGCATGTGAACGGAGAGGCGGCATTTCTTCCCCAGTGGATATATGAAGATACTTTTTTTTTTGAAAGGATATGAAGATACCTACTCAACTTCTGGGACCATATACATATGAGTGGTCAAGGGAGGAGAGGTGGACTATGAATGGTCATGCCTTATTCACAAATATATATAACATTACATTTTCTCTTATCGTGCACACAAGTAAATATAGGATATTGAATTCACACATGCATGCATGTACACTGAATTGAAGAGTGAGCATGCATGACAACGTCTTGTTACGGCAGTAAGAACTTAATTACGTGTATACTGAATTTAATTATGTTTAATTCCATTAGCGATGCAATACCACTAGAGATTACTCCCTCTCTCTGGTCTAATTGCCGTTTACACAAGAACGCCTGCAGACACTAGTTTGGCATTCGTTAATCTCCATCTGTTCCAAATTATAAGTTGTTGGCTTTTCTAGGTACATAACTTTTGCTAGATATTTAGATAGATATAACGTATATCTAGGGGCAACGTATCAGGTGCAAACTAACCAACTTGTACAAACTTGGAAACTACCGATCAGGACCACTAGATGCTAATCCAATGGATGGGGTGAGAGGTGAGATTTTTTTGCGCTTAAGCCCCCCACCCGCCGGCCTTTTTTTGCGCTTAAGCCCCATCACCCCATCTATTGGATCAACATCTAGTGGTCCTGATTGATAGTTTCCAAGTTTGCACATGTTGATTGGTTTGCACCTGATATGTTGCCATATCTAGGTGCTTAGTAAAACTATGTATTTAGAAAAGTCAAAATGACTTGTAATTTGGAACCAAGAGAGTAGTATAGAATATATGCAAAATATAGCAAATTAAAATTGTAGTTTCTTAAACTACTATTGATGAAGATAAAATGAGCCATACTTTTTTTTCAAAATTGAAGTTGATTTGAATTTTCAAAGGGATATTGATGTTCACAGTTTAAACATGTTGTAATTCAAAACGATGAAATATTTGTGACCAGAGGACGGAGTATACACACCCCAGTCAAAAAAGTATAACAGCTTGCAAAAATAAAATATACGCCATGCAAAGGCAGTATTCTAAAAATGCAAAAGACAAAAGTCATAGGTGCTTTTTATTAAAACGCAAGTAAAGTGTTAGTAGTTCATGCATGCACTGAGTTACCGATCGGCGGTGGCATGCAGGACGTAATCGACGGTCATTGTAAAAGCATCTGAAATGGCGTTATACAGTGGACGAGTGGAAATGAGCTTTTTGTCGGGAAAGCAACTCAACCAGAAGCCTACGGCATAGAAAGTATTCGGCTCAGAGCTCTAGGTCTTTCACAGCTGAAAGTCACTCATCAGTGCACCGCTTTGTTCTTGCTTTCGCTTCTTGTCTCTTACAATATTCTCCGTCATCTCACTTGTCTTCTTCCTTAATCCTCTTGTTCCTTATCATCGATCTCATCTCTTCCCCCTTTGGCTCTGGGGGATATATACATCCAATTATATATGGGAAAAAAACATTTGTCTGAGTATAACTCCTCGTGGCAGCATGTAACTTTTATCTTTGTCTTGAAAAATAGTAACCTGAGTTGTTAAACACTTGTCTCTAGTAAGTTGGTGGTATCTAGGCTTCCAATCAGTGCCAACATCCAGAGGCTTTCAGCATTGTGCCATAGCAATGCTGTATGGTCTTCTCTAGGCTCTGCGCAGCTGATTTTTCCTGATTCCATGAGAAAACTGCAAAAAATGCAGGTGTGCTTATCTCTGGTGTCAGCATCATGTCATGTCATATCATCATATAGGCCGTTCGCTTCGCTGAAAAAATAAGCCGAAACACTGTTCCGGCTGATTTGTTGTGAGAGAAAAAGCACTCTTCCGACTGAAAAAATAAGCTGAAAGCGAACATAGCATCGTGCATTCCTAATTTCGCAGCAGAATACGGCTAGGGATTACCTTTACATCTGTCCTCAATTGGCCCTCCCTATATGTATGACGAGTAGCTGTCATGTGTACACGTATTTTGCTATAAGCCTCTGAGCAATATTCCTCCAAGCATTCCCAACTCTTGGTCACAGACCGAAGGTACCTGCTACTCTTTGTTTCAAATTATAAGTTGTCGTGACTTTTCTACATAAATATGTCTTACTATATATCTAGACATAATGTATATCTAGATGTATAGTAAAAGTTAGGTATTTGGAAATACAGTACGACTTATAATTTGGAATGGAGGGAGTACTAGTTAGTAGTTATTCAAATATATTAACAGGAAGCGTGCAAGTCACAACATTTATATAGTTCACCAACTGTTACCAGATGACTCTTTGACAGTAGCTCACAATTTGCAGGCAATTGCTTCAAGCAATCTTGGTGGTCATGTGTCATCTGCTCTGAGAACTACTGCAGAATAGTGTCATACCAAATTGCAGAACATTGAATTCTGTCTTTAAGGATAGGTAAGCTTCATCTAGCAGTCATAGATGCATGCACTGGGAATAAAAGAGTGAAAGCTACAAGTCAGTTCCCATGTTTTTTTCCTCTTCTGAGCTTGTGATTTGATTCTCATCAAGAACATTATATGGTCTCAGCAGCAGCACACAGAGCCCAGAAAAAGTAACATACAAAGCCAAGCCATGCAGTTGATTCCTGTCCATGACATTCAGAATCTGCAATGCCAAAGCTCTGCCATTTTTTTTTTTCTCGAACGTGCCATTGGCACGGTAATCATTAAGCAGAAGGAGAGTTTTACAAATTATTAAAACTAGGACGGTAATTTGTGGTTACCGAACCAAACACCGACAGAGCTCACACAGTTGTGATTATAAAAGAAACTACGTAGCGGCTGCGCAAAGGACCAAGCAAAGGGACAAACAAACACAGCAGGCCCTAAACCCAGCGGCTAAAAAGCGTCCTGCTCGAAGCCAATGAGGTTGAGCTCCATGGCCACCGGATCGAAATCTGGAGCGAAGAGCTCCTGAAGGGCCGCCTACTTGGAGGGCGACAACGGCTCAGCGAACAAGGCCTTGATACTGTCCAAGGCCGCAGGCTCTAGACCCTGCTTCATGTCTGCGATCCCTAGCTTTTGCTTCAGTACATTTTGTGCCTGGACCTTAGCAGCAAGCCTCCCACTCCGACGCACCGACAACATCGTTGAAGGTGTCCTGGACCTCCTCGGCCTCGGCTTGCTGATCAAAGGGGTCTCGAGCGGGATGCATACCCGCGCCTCCAATTGTGTCAACAGGGACACATCAGCCGATGGAGGTTGAGTGTTATGGCCTTCGTCGTCAGTCGAAGACCCGTGGCTGGGCCTCAACAGCTCAAGCTCCACAACTTCTGAATCCGGTATAGGCGTCCGCGGCCACCTCCTACCTAGGGGGAGCAACGCGCGGACAAGTTAGGCGATCCAGAAAGCTGCGCCAGCAGGGGCGACCCTCCTGCTGGGACCCCCACACCCGAAGGCTTCTCCATGACGACCAACCCCTCGGAGCGCATGGGATCCCATCGCTCATGGGCCGGCACGGCCTGCATCACGGAAGCGATTTCACTCCCTTTTCCTTGCTGAGGAAGAGCAGGAGAAGCTTCCTTTTTGCCAGGGGTACATGTCCTGATTCTGCAGCCCTTGCATGGCTTCCCAATTATTAAGGTCATGTCGGCATCGCCGCAGTATCGGATATGCGTCTCTCTGACAGCAGAAGGCTTTTCGAGGTGAATCAGGTCCCGTCGATCTCTGACTAACTGTCAAGCTAAGGAATCCGTTCAGTCACGCAAGAGGGTCCTATGGCCAAAATATCACTATTGAAAGGCCAACGATCAAGCAGACGCCAGAGGAAATGGCACATAAATGAGCAGAGTAAAGATTGCTACCATGATTTGATTTTAAAAACATGTGCATCGAAGAAATTATTTAGTTTATAGGGTCACTCTGGTGTTAAAAAAACGTACCCTCCCACTGTCGCGGGCGAGTCTGGTAACGTCATCGTACGGCGTGCACGGTGGCCAAAATAACACTTTGGACGCTTGCCGGTGCGCGGCTCCCATCGTCGCGGGCGAGTTCATGAATGGCTATGCGCGGTGTGGCGGTGGCCGGCCCTCCCCCCTTCCATCCCGGCGTGGACGCTTGCCGGTGCGCACCTCCCATCATTGTGGGCGAGTCCGGGAATGGCTCCATGTGGTGTGGCGGCGGCCGACACCCCCTCCTCAAGGTGCAGCTACCACCAGCACAAGGCTCGGGTGAAAACTTTGCCAAGCTACTGCATTGCCGACAATGATTACGTTTTGTCGTCATTCACCTCCCTGAAGGCATCGTCGAAGAGCTCATGTGTCTTATTGTGGTAGTCTTTGCATTTCGCTATTATATTTGTGGTCTGCCACGCTTCGACCTGGTGCTGGGACGTCTTGCTGTTTTTGTTTCTCCCCTTCAACGTTGTAAAACATAAAGCAAGCCAATTTGGGCTATATCAATATACATTCAGGTGTGGAATAATCCACCTGGTGACATTAAAAAAAACATTTAGGCATAATTTGATTAAAGCTTAAATACTAGATTATTTAGTTCGGAAACAAGATACATATGTAGATTTGTATTGAACAATACTTGCAAAACTCAAACTTGAAGGGTTTTAAGAATATATTCTAGAAGATATTAGTGGTCAAAGATGTGCATCAAAGACTGCAGAGTTAAATGTGACAAGTATTTTAACTAGGGGGAAGTGCATATATTTTTAACTAGAGGGAGTGCATACATGTTGAGTTGTTGACAGATCATGTTTCACATCTCAAACTGCTAGAGTTGGAGTTTGTTCTTGACAGTAATTCAATGAATATACAGGACAGCAGTAGTGTAAGTTAACAGGAAAAAGAAATGTTGCTCAGTGTGAACTGTGAAATATGATGCCGTGTATTTCTTGCACATAGCTGCAGATTCAGTTTCCATTTGTACACTTGACATTGCATTTGTAAACTTGCACAGCGTTGCACATCCAACTCGCAGCAGAACTTCCAGACTTCTAGTTGGGAGGAATCAGATGGATGACTGATCTGTGTACAGCAGCAGGAGCGCCACTAGCTTGCTAGCTATTTTAGCCTATTCTATCAACACTGCAGGCTATGTGACGAAACTTGAGTGATGTTTCTAACAAAATTACGAAGCATGAAACTGATTTGCCCTTGGTATCCAAACAGACCCTTAAGCTAGGAAAAATCTTGGAATTCTGTATTCACAAACTGTCCTCATGTAGTTTGTAACAGCTTTCTTCTGAAAGTACCAATAGCCACTGGTTGCAATTTGCAACATCCTTCGTACATACTATCGAGATGTATATTTGCTGATATACATAAAACTACAGGCAACAGTTTCCCAGATTTAGTTGCAGTTTATATTCTTTCTCAGTTCTGCACAACACAAGCAAAAGCCAAATAAGACTTCAGGCAGACAAAAAGTCATGGTTTTTTATAGCTGTATGTACTGCGTACTGAAATCGCAGGTAGAAAAAGGAAGCGTGTACAAAAAGGCACGCAACCGATTCAAATGGTGTAGTCGCCCTAAAACTTACAGAATTAAAAAGGTAACATCTTGTAAGGGATAACATAACAACATGACACATCTTAAGCAAGGATAAGAAAATCAAGACATGGTGAAAAAGTGGATGATTTGTCATCGAGTTGTTCTAACAATCAATACCCTCCACTGCAGTTGTTGGGAGGAATGTGGGCAATATTTTTCAGTACCCTGTCATCTAGGTAGCTAGTCCCAAACCTACACAGTGTGGACCCAAAACTGGTCGGGATCTGGTTAGACCTGGAAACATCCTGGTTTCAGACATTATCGAGTTTGCCTGCTCCATTTTTTTCCTTTCAAAGGTGCATGATAGATCTTGAGTTCTTGATCTTACATGTGCTTAGGGTTCCATGCTACATATTTTTAGGTGATTTCATGTGCCAATCAGGTGACCAAAAAGCTGAAGCTGAGGGGGAAAGGTGGGAAGTATACACAAGCTCTGTTGATCCATCGAAAGGATCTATTAGGGAAAATCTTTTTTCTCGAACACGCAGGAGAACTGCTCATCATTATATTAAGAAGAAAAAATGGTAAAGGAACCCATACAAGACACCCACTCACACCAATGTGTTCAAATTAAACAGACACGCCCTTATCACACAAAGTAGGCGACCTCGGCCCAAAATTAACTCCCATTCGGCCCCAGGGCAAGGAGGTAATTGATACCATACCTCGTGGCTCGTGCCCCTGTCAAACCCCAAAATATAAGGGTTTTTTGGATTGGTGCCATTGCAATTTTGCAAGTTTGGAGAAACGCCATTACTATTCGTCTATTTGGAAACATGCCATTATAATTTTGCTTTAGCTTGAATCGTGCCATTTTATACGTATTCGACAGTGTTGGGCCCACGTGCAGGTGACTACAGGCCTGTGTATTCTCGTACGTCCCAAAATACCCATGCTACTTCTCTCTTCCTTCACTCGCTGACGTGTGGGCCCCAGACGCCAGCTTCTTCTTCAACCTCTAGATCGACCATTGGCCGCCGACCAGTGGCAGGCCCAAGACGAACCGGTATCCGCCCAGGCCCAGGGCGGCGAGCTCAGCTGGCTTGTGGATCCGGACGGCCACGGGCGCCGGTGGGGTCGATGATGTCTACTTGCTCTGGCCTTATCCATCCTGACAGTGGCAACTCGCGCAGGGACAGGGCAGGGGCAGCACAGCGCCGCATCTCCAGCAAATTAAAGGTCATGTGTGGATGCATCAGGCAAAGCAAGAGCGCATGCGCGACGACCGCATGAGCTCCAATCCAACGTGCCGCAACCGGGCCAGGTGACCTTCGTTAGTTCGGAGCCTAGTCCGCAATCATGTCGTGGCCTCCCCCACTTCCTTCACCCGCTGTTGCATTGAGCGAGAGGCAACAGCTGCGAACCCGAGCGGTGCGAGCACCGGTTCCGTTGGCCGAACGCTTGGAAGCCTGGAACACTGACTCCGGCGGCCTGATGCGACCGAGTCGAGTACGGCTCCGGCGGCCAACCGGTTCAGGCTCGAGACCTCACTGGCACCGGTGGCCGACCGGATCCGCAAGCCAGCCGAGCTCGCCGCCCTCCAAGGGTGGCCAATGGTCGATCTGTCTAGAGGCACATCAGCGAGTGAAGGGAGAGAGAAGCAGCAGGGGTATTTTGGGACATACGAGAATACACTAGCCTATAGTCACCTGCACATGGGCCCAACACTGTCGAATACGTATAAAATGGCACGATTCAAGCTAAAGAAAAATTATGATGGCATGTTTCCAAATAGACGAATAGTAATGGCGTTTCTCCAAACTTGCAAAATTGCAATGGCACCAATCCAAAAAACCCAAAATATAAGCTCCTCACTAGCAAGTAACAGAGCTCTAGCTAGGTTTGGAGAATCAGCATCAAACACAGGGAAAATCTGAACAAATAGCAGTCATATCAGACAAGTTAAGTAAAAATCCAGACTATATGTACATTTTGTAAAGCAAAATATTAGTACAGTTTACACCATTTTCTCAAATGCCATTTTTTTTCCCAAAGTAATGCTGTTAAGTAACATCACCGACATCTTTTAAGTACTCCCTCCATTCCAAGTCGTAAGTCATTTTGGCTTTTTTAGATACGTAGTTTTTACTGTATATCTAGACATAACGTATATCTAGGTGCATAGCAAAAATTATGAATCTAAAAAGCCAAAACAACTTAAAATTTGGAATGGAGGGAGTACTTTTAAAGAGTGAATAGAGTTGATCCATCTGATCAAGTAAACCCAATTAAATGAGTTTGAAAGGAACATTTTGATGAACATCAAGAATATGAGGCAGTGTTATTCTGAGGGGATAGAAACAAGTGAGGCTGTGCTCAAATCTGAACATACCTTGCAAGAGCTGCTAAGTTAGCTTAATGTATGATAACCCATCAGTCCTCGGAAATCATCAGGGCTTGATGGTTTATTTCCAGATTTAGGTAGCCATGGAAATAACTTGGTGAGGCCTTGCCTTTCAGAATCATCAGTTTCTTGTCTCCCGTTGACCCCGTATTTCTCCCTCTCAATTGCATCCATAATATCCTCCCGGGACACAGTATTTCGACCTGGAAGATCAACACCAATAAGTTTCATATTAATATATATTCTACAATTGCCTTAAAACCCATTCATTAGAGATTAACCAATCCTCATTTTGAAGTACAAAAGTAGAACACGAAACAGTAAGTGGAATTATGACTACTCCAGTAATAATTTCCAATAGCATAGTAGGGAAAATATCCCAGTAACAGGTTTCAAACATGGACAAAAAAATTGTTAAGTTTTAAACCATGTAATGCAAAGCACCACTGAATCTAGAAATAATTTCATTGGTATCAACACATATCTGATGCATGAGCAACAAATGATATGTAATGTACCTTTCAGTACCTTAAATAAGTGATCTTACTTACCTCTTCGTGCAGCTAGTAGAGCAGCCTCATTAACAATGTTTGCTAGATCTGCACCGACCAATCCTGGGGTTACTCTAGCAACCAGATCACTAATTATTTCAGGATCCTCTTCCAAAGGAATACCCCTTAGATGAACAGCCAGAATCTTTTTGCGGCCCTCCACATCAGGCCTACCAACAACAACCTTTCTGGAGAAGCGGCCAGGTCGACAAAGAGCAGCATCCAGTGCTTTTGGCCTGTTAGTAGCAGCCATGACAATAACTTTCATGTCCGAGTCAAAACCATCCATTTCGGTAAGCAGCTATTCATCATAGAGAAAATCAAGAAAATATACTCTTAGTGATGTCATTAGACGCAGGATATGAAAGATCATCATAGTGCCAAAAACCACACCTGGTTTAGAGTTTGGTCCCTCTCATCATTAAAACTTCTACCTCGACTTCCACCCACGGCATCAAGTTCATCAATAAAAATGATTGATGGGGCAGCTTCTTTGGCCTCCTTGAACAAATCCCTGACTCGGGCTGCACCTCGTCCAACGAAAACTTCAACAAACTCACTAGCAGAAACAGAGAAAAAAGGAATTCCAGCCTCTCCTGCAACTGCCCTTGCTAACAGAGTCTTCCCAGTTCCAGGAGGGCCAACAAGCAGAACACCCCTGGGCAATTTTGCTCCAAGCTTCTTGTAGTTCAGTGAACCATGCAGACAGCTCACTATCTACATTGGAAAATTGCCATGTTTTACTAAGATTCCTAATGATCATCATCCAGATTGAGTAAAATACTAATACAAAACTAATTTTCCAATGGAAAAATAAATAACTTCAGACCAATGCAAATACGCAATTCCTAGTTACTGAAAAAAAAAACAGCATTCAACACAGTCTCTTACTAAAGGATAATTTTTAGGCCAATATAAATGCAAGATAGAAGTTCAAATTAATCATCCAACAGTTTATATCTGTCCAGTAGTCCCAGACTTCCAGGAGCTATCACATTTCTGTTCATTTTCAGAGTGCTCACAGCATTTACAATTTTCATCAATGAACTACTTGCAGCACATTGCAAAATTTAGAAACTACAGGGCAAACAGACTTCATTCCCCTCAATAAAACTAAAAGATCCTATTGTAACATTCGTATTACCAAGTTTTTCTTCTTCTTCTGATGTGACAAAAATTACTTCAAAGTGATCACTGATCCAAATGGTGCATGAAGCCTTTAAATTTGTGTCATAATGGACGAACTAGGCTCTTATAGGAGTCTAACAAATGTGAAACAGACATTGCAGAAGTTTGAAGTCATACACTATGCATAGCGCAAGAGCGAGTGAAGGCAAAATCAAACTTTGGCAATTCCATTTTCAGTTATAAATGGATCATAGTTCTGCTGTGATGTACGCACATGATTAAATGGTAAAGGTGAGTGTCATTAGATACATTCCTAGTAATTGTGAAAAGACAAAATGAAGGCAAGCCCCCGGCAATACAGTATGATTGATTGACATTTCCTAAACTGCTATATCAAATGTGGATATACCATCTCTGTTCCTATTGAAACCTATGTCTAATTGCCTTTCATTTAAGATGAAATGTCTCTTGTTTAATCGTTTTTGTCTTCCCACATTCATCAAGCATCACAAAGAACAGTCAATGAGTAAGCAATGCGAAAACCACAGCTACCTCAACAAGCTCCTCCTTCGCTTCATCTACACCCTGAACTTCGTCAAAGCCCACCATCTGCTTCCTCGGTTTGCGTCGCTTGTCACCACTGCCCCCACCAGACATCTGCCGCTGTATGAACCACATCATGGGCACCAGCGAGACCCAGAGCGTGAGCAGCGTGCTCAGCATGTCCACCAGCAGCTTCCCAGCAGGCCGCGGCGCCGACCGGTAGTCCACCCCGCCCTCCCGCATTAGCCCGAGCAGGAAGCCCTCATCGTGCGGCACCCTCCGCGCGTAGTACGGCCACTTCGGCGCCGCCACAGCAGCGCTCTCACCGGTCTCGCTCGTGTCGGAGCCGCCGTCGTCCCCATCTTTCTTGCTGAAGTAGATACGGCGCGAGTCCTCCTCGAACGCGACGGCGGCCACGGCGCCCTCGCGGAGCCCCACGACGAGGTCCGAGTAGGCCACCTCCCGGGCCACGTTCTTGGGCAGCGCGAGCCGCGCGGCGGCGAGGAGCAGCGCCAGGACGACCGGCGCCGCGGCCGCGGTGGGCACGCGGCGGACGGCGCGCCGCAGCGCGGTCCCGGCGTCGGCCGCGAGCTCCCGCGGCGACAGCCGCCGGAGCCGCCACCACAGGAGGCGCATCCGCGGCCGCAGGCGCAGGAGCAGCTTCCTGCGGCGGGGCGGGGGAAAGCCGAGACCGGCGCCCGTGTCCTTGCCCGCCTCGTCGATCTTGGCGCGCACGGGGCTCCTTAACCGCGACTGCAGCCTCGCGTAGCCTCCGGTGGGCAGAAGTCCACAGCCGCAGACACTGGCATTGCTCGCGGTCGCGGCGAGGCCGCTCCAGGAAGCGGGGCTCCTGAAGCTTGCGGCACGACGAGCGCGCGGGAAAGTCGGCGCGGCGGACAAGGGGCAGAGCGAAGCCATGGCAAGCATCGCCGCGCGCGCCCTTCCGCGGCGTTACGGCATTCGATCGGACAAAGGACGAGGGCGGTGCGAGAGCGCGTGCGCGCGAGGCGTTCGACGGAATTACTCTGCGGAGGAGGAGACGGCGGAGCAAAGCGTGCGGTGACCCTCGATTGGGTTCTGCAGCGTGTGCTCGTGTGATGTCCGAATTCTGAGATTGCTCTGCTTGGCGATTGATCGACGGATATGGCCGAGGAGATTTTTTTTTGTCGGGAAGAAGAAATTGGTCGCCGTGGGCTCTTCTTGGTTCGGCTGATCCATGGGAGGCCAGGCGACCAGCCCGGTATGGATGAGACGTGTTTGAATTTGGGCCAACTCCCGATCAGCCCAAAGTTTTTTGCATTTCGCACCGGATAATCTTTGATACATACATATTTGTAGGTGTTTCTAAAAAAAATAGTGGTTCAAATCAGCCCGAATCATTTTCTGTTGAGTTTCCTGTGAAGGTCAATGCGAAAAAAATTGTGAAGGCAAATGCCAAAAAGAATATGAAGACCAAAGCGAACAGCAAAGATGTTGGTAGAGGAGGTGCAAAGATTGATATTGTGCCATTTGACAGCCCAAGAACAGCCACAAGATGCAGAACATAGCCCTCGCCACAAGAAGTAAAAGTAGGCTTAGCCTGTGATATTGAATATCCTAACACTGTTTATGTATGAAGTTGTGACATGAGTTTTAGATGTGTATGTGTGAACTTTAAAACTTGTGTCCAACTTATTTATGTATGGAAAACCCATTTGTAGCGAACCTATGTATGCACTTGTTCTAATTCTAAGCTCGTGTGAATTGTTGATCTTAATTGCTATCTTAAAGCTCCTGTATATATTTGTTATGGTTGTCCATTGTATTTTGTGTATAAAAAATGTCGTCTGGTCTATCTAGTCATACTTCATATATCCAACCATACATTCAGAGGAGTAATATGGTTTTTTTACCTTATGTTTAACACCGTTAGTCCTCAACAGTAACCCTGATGTCATTTTAGAAGCCGAACCGACTCTAATTCGGCGGCCAAGGATAGGGTAGAGGCTAATTCAACTGTGACACAGGCCGATTCTGTGGCAGGGAGGCTGATTTGGGTGGCTGAGGACTTCGATTCAATGGCGGCCTTGCCCAGGCGACGAGCCAATTTGGCTTGCCTTCGTTGGCAAGTATTTCCTTGCCCAGGTGAGCAAGCTTGCTGGGCAAACAGGTTGAGGTGAACAACCAATCAGCTTTCCTTGCCCTCTGTGTCGGCTCGTGCCTTGCAGTTGGCAAGTGTCGAGCAGACAGGCGGCCTGACCGGTGGGTCCTGGTTGGATTCATCCTCCTCTACAGGCAGCACTGCAGTAGTCACAGCTCTACTCAGACCGACTCCAAGAGCGTGACCCAAACCCAAAAATGGGTTGTTCATAGTGTTTTTGCTGGCCAAAACAACCTCCAACAGGCTAGGCAAATGAGCGACGCATTTTGGGTTGGTACTGACGCGCGACGCAAACATGCGTCCTCTCTTCGTCCTTCTATGTCTCCACCTAGGCGTTGGGCCCACCGGAAGGGGGTGACCAGAGCCTGGTCCGGCAAGAGCAGCACCTCGGGGTCACTGCACCGGAGCCACACCGGAGTTGTGGAAGGGGTTGCAGGTGCCGCTCTGGCGGACCGTAGGGCCACGCCGCCGGCAAGGGGAGGAGAGAGCTGCCGGAGCTCGTACGCGTGAAGGGGCGCTGCGCCTCGCCGGATCTCGAGCCGGAGCTCGCAGCTTGGTGGCCTCGCCCGCTGTAGCGCTCGGCGTCGGGGCCTCCGCGAAGCTCTTGCAGATAAGGTCGCGTGCGCGCAGCTGGGGCCTCCGCCAGCGCCCCCTCTCCCACCGGCGCAGCGAGCCAGGTTCGTAGCGGGGCGAGTGGCTCCACGACACGTCGGACGTGCGGAGGAAGAGCGTGCGGGTGCGGCGGCGTAAGTTCGGAGGAGGACGGCGAGGCAGAGGGGGAGGAGTAGGGGAGGCCGCGGGCTTCGACAAGGTGCGGAGATTTGCGTTCTCCCGTGCTTCGCTGTTGGAGAAGGATAAATTTTGGGTGGCCACGCTTTCTGTCGGTGCAGAATGTGACCAACTAGTAAATATTTGTAGTTTTGCCGTACGTTGTGATCAGATGTGGCCTAACACTCAATGACACAGGGTTTATACTGGTTCAGGCAACATGCCCTACGTACAGTTTGGGTCGGTCAGTGACTTTATTCCTGAGCCCAGGTGCTCGAAGTCTACAGTGGGGTTACAAATAAGAAGGAGAAAGATGGGGTGTACAAGAGGTCCGGTCGGAAGGGCCGAGAGCGACTGGAGCTATGCTATGAGCTAAGTGTTCAAGCGTGTGCTTGAGGTCCGAACCTGGTGGTTCTGTGGTTGTGGACTAGAGAACTTGGTTGACCTAATGAGTCTGAGAAAGGCTCTTCAAAGGGGGCCTTAGAGAGAAAAAAGCATCTCCTTTATTGGAGGGAGCGCATCCCTTTTATAGATAAAGGGGATGGCTTTACAAGTGAGGGTACGTATGCTACTGAGCGTTGTTGCCCATAACGGCGGGTACAAGATAATGGTAGGTGCCTACAACACTGTTGATGTACTGTAGAATGTCAGATGCATGTGGGAGGTTGCATTTGCCTTCTTCAGGAATGGTAGACGTCAGTACCTGTAGATACTGTTTGATGCCTAGAGGCATGTGATGAGTGTCACCACGTTCACCCCATACGGTAAATCCCGACGCCCACAACACTATCGGTACCCGGAGGCACGTGGGGGGCCTTACCGTACGGGAGTTTTAACGGCGCCTACAATACTGTAGAGGAAAATATCGGCGCCTACAATAATGTTTGTGTCAAGGTGGTTACAGAGTACTATTCCTGCAGGTGTATAGGGTAGGGTCACTAGTATCGTGGTTTGACTTACGCGCCCTGGCTTGCTTTCTCCGTTCGCCCCTGGCTCCTTTCGAGCGAGCGTCCTCGGTCAGATGGCCCCAGTCGGTTCTGGCCGCGCCAGTCGGAGAAGAGCGGTGAGCAGGGTTTCTGTGCCCCCGGTCGGCGACGCGGGGTCGGAGTCTGAAGTAGCGCTTTGGACCAGGCCTTCCGATCGGAGAGGCCGTCCGGAGGCTGCTGGAGTTTGAAGCGAGCACTCCAGTCGAAGAGGTGGGCCGAAGTAGTTGACGAGCGGGCGCCGTTCCTCTTCGTCCAGACCTTCCGGTCGGTGACTGGACCGCCTTTCCGACCCGTCGTTTTAGACTCTTGGGCCGCCCCATGAGTTGTGTGCTGCCTGTTTGGGCCGAGCCCCGGCGTGGAAGCCGGTCCCCGAGGGACCCCGGGTTTATGAACCCGACACTTTCACTGTGCATGACCTAAATATGTTGTATTTGGTCCTCGTTGTCAGTCTCACAAAGGTGTTGTATTTGGTCCTCGTTGTCAGTCTCACAGGCGTATCTTCGCGGCATCGGTCCCACGGGCCAGTGTGAGATTCACCTGCCCATCTCTATCGCTGCCTCCCTTGAGTCCGTCGGATTCCCTGCACCGTTGGGGCTCGCGGCCTGACCAATCGCCCGTCTCTCAGCGGCGGCCCCACCGGGCAGTGAGGCTGCGGTGCGGCGCAGCAGAAAACGCCCAGGCGCATCGGCATCGCCGGGGGCAACGCCGTCACGCGCCTCCCGATCCTCTCCTAGTCTCCTCCACCAAATCCTCCTCCTCCGTCTTCCTGTCAGGCCGCGCTATATAAAAGCGGCCCGCGGGAGCACGGAGCAGGCGAGCACCAGCCCAGCGGCAGATCAGTCGAGGCGGCCGATTCCAGGGTTTAGAGAGGAGCGGAGATGTTGAAGGTCCTCGAGGGGCGCCCGGCCAAGATGGGCTTCCGGATGCCGGCGGAGTGGGAGCCGCACGAACAGTGCTGGATGGGATGGCCCGTACGTACTCTCCCCCCTCCCTCCCTCCCTCCCTCCCTGCTTCTCCCTCTCCGATTCGCCTCTCATGTTCATGTTGCTCCTTCCATGTTCTTCGTGCTTTCATTTTGGGGCTCCGTGCTACGGGGTTGCAGTTGCAGCCATCCGTGTGCTTGTGACGCAGGAATCTGATTCTGATCTCGACAGTGCGTCAGATGTTTGGTTGGGAAATGGCTGATTTTGATCTCGACAGTGCGTCAAATGTTTGGTTGGGAAATGGTTTGCTTGCTTGTGGGATCGTGGTTCAGGGTCATGAGACTGAGTGCTGCGCGTGCGATTTCTCGCATCTTTTTGCGAGGAATTTCTCTCGCATTTTTCGGAACATGAGACGTGCTTTTAGGAAAAGAAATCAAAAGTAGGATGATTCTTTCCAACTGCTTTTGCGCCACCAAGACTTTTCTGACAGAAGCTAGTCTCTTGTCTTGCCGTCTATCAGTTCAGAGCAGAGGTTCAGTCTGGATGAACTGGATAGTCTGGATCGATCATGTGCGGCCGCAATGCTCTGCGAATTGTATGGTCCTATGCTTCTCTTCCTTGAACTGCGAAACGGATCAGTCGATTTTTTTCTGTTGTAAATAGAATTGGCACCCGTATATTCCAACTCGCATGTTGCTGGGAGCAGTTAGCGTCTCAGGAGACGGATCCACTAGTCAATTGCCATTGCTGTGTGAAGTTGGAATCTGAATATTTTGTTCTTGGAACCTTGAGCCGTAAACAGCCGTAAACTGGAGTATCCAGATTTTACTATCCTGAATTCGAAGGACGTGATTGGTTTCTTCTTTCTTAAGCGCACACCAACTCTGATGCGCAATCTACTATATCCTAATCTATCGATGTTGGCCTATGGGAATACATAAATAACCTGATCCTGCAACTTTGCCAATAGTATTATATACTAAACTGAACATGATATTTATCGTACCAAAGAGAACGTGCGAGTATAGTATAAGATGGTCCTAATAATTCCTGCTCCCTTTTGTCTTCCACTACTAACTATGTATATGAATGTGCTCATAAGACTCCCGTGAACATTTCCAAGTGCATTATCATAATAAACATTTTCAAATTTCTTTTGAATGCCAGGAGCGTCCAGATAACTGGAGGGAGAATGCTGGTCCAGCTCAAGAGGTATTTGCTAGAACTGCAATTGCCATTTCAAAGTTTGAACACGTCACGTTATGTGCAAGTGCCAAGCAGGTATCAGATAGTCTCATCTCTGCCTCATTTCAGTTTCAACTGTATTGTGGACTACTTCATTGCCATACATGGTACAGTAACAGCGGTATTCACACATTTTTTACTCTGGTAGTACCCCAAAGTCCACGAGCTGATGGAACATCAGACCAACATCAGGGTGGTTGAGATGAGCATGAATGATTCCTGGTTCCGCGACATGGGACCCACTGTGCGCCACTTAAATCTTGGTCTTCTTTTCTCATTTTCAGTCCGGTGTTTTTACTTGCTGACAGTGTTCCTGGTTCTTAGTTTATCACTCGCAAAGGTGATTCAGGAATCGCAGAACAAACTATAGCAGGAATTGATTGGCAATTTAATGCCTGGGGAGGTATGTTTAATTGAAGTATGCATATTGTTTCTGCACTGTTTCATGCTGCTTATTTCAGTTATGATGTCTTTCTGATGACGGTTTCTTTTTCTCACAAAATATCTACTACTATTGTTCATGCAAAGGTTCCAAATTTCCAATTGTTAATCCATCTTAACAAAATAACTATTTTTAGTGGAAACCACCAAGTGTTTCTGTTACGGCGTGCCTTACTGCGGAGGAAGTAGGGAGGATCGACGGGCGTGTGAGGGCGCGTGGGCTTGCGGCGAGTCGGCGCCGTGATCGAGATCGATCTCGGCGACAACAGGGAGACGAGGAACAGGGAGAACGAGAGGAGCACCGCCAGGTGCCCAAGGGAGATATAATCTCAATCCTGGGCTGCCCCTTTCATTAACTTGGTTTGGGACTCTTATAGTCCTTACACATGACGACGATTACTTGCTAACAAATCCCTTGATTTCCTAACAAACTTAGCTAACCAAATCTCCTTGACTCAACTAGACTCCCTGAAACTCGGACTTGCCCAACCGGGCGTCGTGGTGACCGCGCACGGCGAACTGCCGCGCATGCGTCAGCCACTAGCTTTGTCCCTCCTCTTGTAGACGTTCCCCACCATAACAGTTTCCAAAGGTAATAGAAGGCCGTTGCTCTAGGATAGCATGCATAGAAGCACTTCTTTTTCTGAACAAGAATTTCTTAACATTATAAATTGATGACCCCAATATCAGTTACCTTCTCTTCATGAAAATAAACGAGTTTTGCTACTTCTGCACTACAGGAATCTATGACGATTGGAGTCTTGACAGCGATGTTGCCAAGAAAGTAAACAACTGAACCCTTTTCAAGAACAAACTGATGTTTGTGCCAGACTATTTTCTGTACTGATTGTTCTCTTTACTGTTTCGGTCGTGAATTCCAGATAGTCGAGATTGAGAGGATCCCTAGGTTTCCGCAAAAAATTATCCTTGAGGGTGGAAGCATTCATGTAGATGGAGAAGGTCCGGCAATATGTCATATCTTTGTCAATGTATAGAGAGTTTCTGTCTTGTCTGCTATTTCCTTCATGATTAATGGTCATGTTTCATCAGGTACATGCATTACAACGGAAGAATGCTTGTTGAATCCTAACAGAAACCCCAACATGACGAAACTAGAGATAGAGAATGAGCTGAAGGATTTTCTTGGAGTCTCAAAGGTCATCTGGATACCTCGTGGACTTTATGGTAAACACCAAATTGGCTCTTTAAAGATGTACTATACTGTAAAACATTTCTGTTCCCCTCATCTGGGCATTCGCCTTCTTACTGATAAATAAGCCTTTGACCATTCCCCAGGTGATGAGGATACAAATGGCCACGTTGACAATATGTGCTGTTTCATTAAACCTGGTGTGATCCTACTGTCATGGACCGACGATGAGAGGGACCCTCAGTATGAACGGTCAGTCGAGGCACTGTCTGTTCTCTCTCAGTCCGTTGACGCGAAAGGACGGCAGCTCGAAGTGGTGAAGATCCACGTCCCTGGACCTCTGTACATGACAAAAGAAGAGGCAGAGGGTGTTGTTTCGACGGTCAGTATCACACAGCTACACTGGTTATTAGTGCTAGTATATATCTGCCCTTTGCATGAAAGTATCGATCCCAGGCGTTGCTGCTAACAGCGAAGAATGTCTGGACGGGGTTTCAGGGGCATGCTGTGCCGAGGGAACCGGGCACGAGATTGGCCGCCTCGTATGTCAACTTCTACATCGCCAATGGCGGGATTATAGCGCCTTCTTTCGGGGACAACAAGTGGGACAAGGAGGCACATGCGGTTCTCCAGAAGGCGTTTCCTGATCACGAGGTAGTATATCTTGACCGTGCATTCTACCTCCAAACGTTTAAGGGCTTGAGGCGGCTCGCATTGTGTGCGGTGGAACTTAATTGAGGTTAGAAGCATGGTGTGAATTGTGATGAAGGGCTGTGGTTGGCACGCAGATGGTGATGGTTGAAGGCGCACGAGAGATCGTGCTGGGAGGCGGGAACGTTCACTGCATCACGCAGCAGCAGCCCGTGCGCCCGTCCTAGGTGAACCAACCTCGACGCGAAGGCGATAAAGAGCATGCTGGTAGCATCATTTTGTATACTATTATATTATTTAGTAGGTGAATTGATCTCCGGTCGTTATCACGCTGGCCAACATGCGCGAGAAGAGAAATAAGACCCGTCAGCAGTTCGTTGACAAATAGTCAAATACTATACGAAAACAATTTCCCGTTTCTTCCAGGCCCTGGCTTAGCTCCGTTCGATGCAAAAGCGTCAGTGGGGTAATCTAACACTGTCGTTATTCTAACTTTCTTGTAGAGTCACGACATCTTAAGTTTAATCAAATTTATATAATAAAACAACATTTATGAAATACTTGTTAGTTTCTTCATTAATTGTATTTTCATAGTATATTTATTTGATATCATAAATTTTTATAATTTTCTGTATAATTTTGATCAAACTTGAGATGCTTTGATTTTCCAAAAAAGTAGAGGTAGTAGTAATCAAACTTCTATTGCGTGTATCAAGCCTGAATAGCGGGAGCCTACCTCACTGATACGAGCCAGCCTACACTGGGCCAGGAAACAACCAATCATGCCTCCCTAGTAGGCTAGCACTTCATCCGCGTGGACTAAAATGAATATGAATGTAGCTAAACAAACCTTGAGAAAGGAGGGAGCATGGGTGCTTTGGTTGCGAGTAAGAGGAAGGAGATTGCTCCTCACTCAAAATGCAAATCAAAAGTCACCTACCTAGCTGACCGTCGGGTAGTCGGGTGCCTCCTAACCACCCACAACCGATGCCCACGCAACCAGCCGTGCATCTGTGATTCGGACTATTTTGAACGCAGCCGTTGAGTTCACATGGAACGCCAGTAGTGTATCCATAATTAGCTCACACAAGTCATATCTGGCGGCATCATCAGATTAGCAAACGTTCAGTTGGTTGACTCCTTCAGATTCTAGCCACTTGGCATCAAATTAGCTAGGGTAACTCCTCAGGTAGGATAAGATGCATTCAGTGTAACCTGTACGGGATTGATGTTGTATATTAATGTTGTGGCAAGCAATCGGGTCAAATTGGCCGATAGGTCGACAAAACTTCCACAAGAAAAGAAAATAAACTGGGACAACCAATGAGACTGGAGGCTGGAAATAAATTTCATATCAAAATTTCACACGACTAACATTGGATTAACAGGTAGTACAAGTACGCAACTACTAGATCTACTGGAAATTTCATGCTTGAGAATTCAGAGCTACTGGTTAACTTTGTTGGGCGTTACAAGTATATACGGGAAAATTGAGAAAACCAGTATAGATGGGTACATCGATAAACAAGAACCATTTCTTCCCGTGTTATACTGGTTAGACTATTGAAGTCTGGGAGGTCGATGAAAACCATGTCTCCAATTCGACCCCTACCCCTCACGCGACCCTGAGTCTTCTATAAGGTTATCATGTGTATCCGAAATTCTAAATACTGACCTTTGTACCCTATCCGTAACAGCTGGAACCTGGGGCGCACAGATGTATCAGTTGGAAAATGGCATGCACCCTGACTGTGACCGGAGACCCTGATCCTCTCTCGTGAAACTCTATCCATCTCTGAAAATCATGCGGAAGAAACAATAATATGGTGTTGCCCATATCCTGGAATACAATTGAATTGCTCATTTGCATTCAACAAAACCAGTAGCATCATAGTGACAAAACAAAACAAAACAAAAACTCACTTTACATCATGTAGCACTTGAAAGCCCCTCAAGCTCACTTCTAGCCCAGCAATTCAACTGCAACGCTTTGGTCTTGAGTTGCTCAAAAGCAGATTTTAACTTTTGTTTTTCTGCATGTGTTACATCAGGCACACTAGAATCCTGCAGCAGGAACCGACATAAAGTGAAACAATTAGAAGAACAAGTCTGCATGAACTTTGAACAGTAGTATATATATCTCAAACTCCCACAGCTACATTTGAGCATGATAAAATATAAATCAAGCAACTGATTGAGCTTAGGACAAGTCAACTAGTTCTTTTTTAAGCTAGGTAATCAGTAATTAATTGGGACATCAACCAGCAAAACGATTTCTGTTGGGAGTTCCATTCCTTTTTTCTTTTCTTTTTGGGATACGCTCATCCACAAACTGACATTAGATAAAAAAAACAATTTTATGACTAGGAAATTTAAATTTATTAATCAATATGACAATAAAACAAAACCATTTCTGTTATTGCTAACCATCACTTACCAGCTGATGCCTTATATATTCCAGGATGCCTTTAATAACAGATTTGCCATGAGAAAGATTCCTATGGAGTTTCTGGTCATTGCATAAGAAAATGAGTATGGTTGTGACAACACAAACTCTACATGACAGCTCTCCTGGGTAGTTTAAGTTGGAGAGAGATGAAAGTAGATGATCATCTCCTGTTACAAAAGATTTGAGTATCTCCAATGTGCTGCAAAGAACCTTGTCATTCTTGTCAAACATGATGGTGCATGGCTTGATAAAGTACTGAAATAGTCTTGTCTTATCGGGTTGAAAACCAAATTGAATGGTTTTAGACAGATCCTGCAGATAAAACATATTCAGTGGGAGTGAGATATATTCCTATTCAGAACCAGACATGTACAGTAAGAAAACAATCGCAGGGAACTGGGAACATCTGCAGCCAGTTCAGCTAAATAAAAGAGTGGTGCTTCGTATCCAATGTGCCATATCCTTGGACTTGCTAGATAATGCAAGTATTGGCCATTATACGATTCAATGTGATTTTTTCAATATTACAACAAAGTATGCACTATCATTGAAACTGTGATTTATATTTGGGAGGCACCAACCTAATCACCCTTTTGGAATTTGAGTAAAATACTATTCCTCCCGTGCCAAGTTAACCACCCTTTTCTTTTCAAAAAAAAAAAAAAAAAAAACACCCTTTTGAATTTTGAATAAAATACTATACGTCCCTGTTCTCTTGAAGATTAGTTAGAGCAAAATAATGGGGAAAATGTATCAAATCCTTTCCGAATTTTGAGTAAAATAATATTGCTCCCATGCCAACTTAACCACCCTTTTGAATTTTCAATAAAATACTATGCCTCGCTGTTCTCCTGAAGATTAGTTAGAGCAAAATAATGGAAAAAATGTATCAAATCGCCCAAGTATGAGTGTCAGAGCTCTAAAATTGGAAAAAAGTACGCACCAAAGATGCATCAACCAAGTAACCAGCTATAAGCTTTACAACATCTCCATTCATGAGCTTACTAGTTCCAGCATCAAGTGTAACAATAATTCTAAACAAACCATTCATGTTATGCAACGATGGTTTTTGAGCCTGCAATACAGCAAATGACAGGTGAGTTTAATGGTTGTTGTGATAAAACATGAAACAGAAGCAAAGTTTAGAAAAACTCACAATTGCATTAGATAAGTTATTCCATATCAATTCAAGGACCAGAGAGCCATCGCCCATTTCAGATAGGGAAGTCAAAATTAGGTGATTCAACGACTTGAAAGTATCCCAATTTGAGACCTTGCTAGAACCCTCCAGAGTAACTAAGTCCCCTTGATTAATTTAACAAAGTAAAATATATTTGTCAGAAAAAAACAAAAAGGCCCTGGTAATGAAACACCAGAATTATTGAAGACACATATTCAGATAAAATAATCAATCCATTAAGAGCAACATCTGAATTTTACTAGCAGACGGCAGTAAATGGAAAGAATGTTCAGTAATCACCAGGATGAACTCTGAATCTTGCCATTAGCAGCAACAAGAAACTGAGTTGCTCTGTTATATGTAAACTACCAGCCTTGTATGTTGACTGTAGGACCTCAATGACCCTGAACAGTATGGTGGGTTCCAGCACATCACCTGGATTTCATAGGTTATATGGAGTACCCAGAATTTATAACATGAAAATCAACTATAGTGCTACAAAATCAAGTGGCGACAACTTAAGCAAAATAGCTTACTTAAGCAAGCTGAGGCCAATGGCCCAACAATGTCAGGGAGCAGACTGGGGAAATAATAAAGGCATGAAATGGCAAATTCTTGGCAATCACGAGGAAGTTTAACAAAAGGACCAAGATCCATAGTTCCTGGTAATGCTGTCAGTAAAAGACATCAGTTCAAAACAAAAAAGAATGATAAATATAAATAAAACGGATAAGATGATCACTGAGTAGTAATTACATTCAACACCAAATAACTTTATGAAGGGGCGCAGGCTTCCACAGTCCACTGTGGGGAAGTATTGCCCAATTCTTAGAAGAAGCTCCAAAGCAACCTAAAATAATCCAGACAGCCATGAAGTAGACAAGCGACAAAGCTTTAGTATGCTCAAAGTATACAAACTCCAGATCACATATCAAACATAACGATTCTTAGTGGATAAATAAAACCTATAGCAGACCTTTGTAACTAAGGGGGCTTTATCAATTGATTGTAGCAAAATTCCAGGTAGCTCCTGTATCCATGCGTCATGATAGCCCAACACACCTGAATCATTTTCAGCAAGCCATATGCCTGTTTTCTCCTAACCATAGACAAGGGGAAGATGTTATACATCATATGTCAGGATCCACAAAATCTCTTTTTTGTGTAACTGTTACCAAGAAGTTCTAGGTGTAATTATCTTTTAGCTAAATTATCTTTTTTTTTTTTGCGTATCATCAATGATTTGGTGATTTTCATTGGGCACGCCACATGCTCTCCATCAAGCCCTACTTACTGTTGTATGTATAAAAATGTGAGGCATTTTAGACCTCCAATGGTTTCAAAGAGCCAACTTTGCTTTAATTGCAATGTGCTAGTGAAACCTACAAAAACATAGTGTGATGAATCATCACACTATGTTTTTGTAGGTTTCACTAGCACATTGCAATTAAAGCAAAGTTGGCTCTTCATCACTGATGAAGGCATCTTTTACAAAAAACATATCTTTACTTCCAGTCAAGCAACAAGTCAATCTATAATCTGGATATATTTTCTCATAATATTAGTAGTCAATTTTTAAAGGTTCGATTGAATCTTGTTCAAGATGCCATACATTTACATACAGAATAATTAATACTTAAGCATGTAAATGGTATGTTTAGCACAGTGTCAGATAAAGAACCTACAGGAAGCAGCATTTCTCCAACTGCATCCAAATATGGCAACATTAGCTTGCAATCCACTTTGCAATCTCTAAATGAGTCCGTAAATGCCTGCACTTGAACAAAGTGTTTTATTTTGGCAAATGCAATAATATAAAAATGTTACAGACTAGAAAGCAAATCAATCAATACCTCCAACAAATAGCCTTTTGAGTCATCTGGGGCATTGGATATAAGACCTGGAATGCAAGTTATAAGTGGGCTCAAATACATCTCGATGAGATCCTTATTGCGAAGTGTTTTTGCCTAATAAAAACAAAAGGATGTTAAATAGATAATGCAAATCCATAACATAATGAAAAAACAGTATCCATGCAGTTAAAATTGACGAGCAAGGAACAACCTTTGCGAACAGAGAAGACACAAAAAGGCAGAATTCTTCAGCTGAAAACACAGTGTTATCTATCCATACATTCGAGCGCAGAAATATTTCAGCAATCCTTAAATTGAAAATGAAAAATTTGTCGTCTCCCTGCCATGAGAAAGAAGTTTGCAATAAGTAAGGTGCAAAAGATACAACCATAATTTTATTCTAAAGCATACACAGATATCTAAATCAGAAAATTAGCTCTAGATAGGAACACATCATCAGCGACAAAGTCCAGCGGAATGGTTGTTTAGTCATGATTCAAGTGTTGTCCCAGAACTATCATTTTTACAATTAACAAGTCTAGAAACAAAGCAAACGTCAGTGCATGAAGTCGGTGTATTCATAGGGCAGCAAAAAATGCTCAAACATGAAGTGAGCCCTCAAAACATGTGATGCATGTAGCGCTGCCAAAAATGCTCAAGCTCAACAAGCTATTTGAGCCCATGCCTTGGACTCAGCTGCGCTGAGCTAACTCAAGCATAGCTTGATTAGGCTTAAGCATATGCAATTATACATAAATACAACACAACAGTAGCATGGTATATTGTAGTTCCTGAGTTCCATCAAAAGGTACTCAGTTCCTATAACTCTACCTAAGTCTAGCAAATCAAAACCATGCATGCATGTTTCTTCTTTTTCTTTGCAAGGAAAAGAATACTTATGTTACTCTCCTTTGGGTTGATCAAGAAGTTATTCTAAAACCAGTTGGTGGTGGTAACATCAAAGGAACAACTTCCGTACCTTTCCATGAAACAAACGCTTCACTCCCCATAAATTCTTTAGATGTACCAGTAAGGAACTTCTCAACCAGTCAGGCCCACACTGAGTTTTGGATATGGGGAATTTCAACTGAGGTTTCTTCACCTCATGAACAAATATCCTACATATTAGATCCAGACAATGAAGGGCTGATAGCAACGCTTCACTTGACTGAGCATCAAGAGCTGACTTTGCACAGAGATCTGAAGCTGAAACCTCTACAGAATTAATGAGGATCTGGACAAGGTTCTGAAGCTTCACTAATAAATTGGACATTGAAAATGCCCCTGTAGTACAGAAGAAGTATAAGATAACAATAACAAAGTTGAATGAACGGGACATAAACAAATAACATCAAATCAGGTAGTAAGTACGGTGATTCAAAAAGGAAAAAAGATCTGGAAGGGTTGAAACAGCTGTTTATATTATGATGAAAAGGAAAAAAGATCTAAAAAGGGTTGAAACAGCTGTTTATATTATGATGAATTAATGATCCTTAAGAGAGTTATTTCTTTAAAAATATTACCACTTGCCCCAGCCCGCACTCTTGGTATATGAATTCCAAAGAATGCTGATTGAACAAATGAACACTTACCAATCCAATGATAAGAAAGAAAACAGAGAGCCTGTAAATGGTTTGGTTTAAGCGGTTTGATTAAAACCAACTCATGGGTCAAAGGGAAGGTAAAAGCGAGTATATGAGATGTGACAAGCACTACTACTCGGGAGGAGGAAGATATTAGTTTGGAAGGTCAAATGCCTAGGAGGATACCTTTCGATATTTATGATCAATCAAACGGGATATTGATGAAGATGGACCTTCAAAGGTGGTGGATGAAGCAAGCATCCGTGTCCTATGTAAGACTCTACCACTTGCACCAGGCCCGCCCTTCTTGGTATATGAATTAAAAGTACCAAAATTTCCATAAACTCTCCATTAAGTAACCCGAATGCTGATTGAACAAATGAACACTTACCAATCCAATGATAAGAAAGAAAACAGAAGTGCTACTCTGACTAGGCCTGTAAATGGTTTGGTTTAAGCGGTTTCTGATTAAAACCAACTCAGACCATAAAATATTTTGGTTCTACGGTTTGGAACCCACGGCTTAGACGGGTTCCATGGGTTAGCAAGTCACCCGAGAGACACGAGGGGGGGCGGCAGAAAGGGCAGTTGCGCAAGCGGGCTCCTCGACAAGTTTTGGGTCGGGTAATTACGGAGGCTAGGGTTGAGAGGAAAAGTCTGGTTCGCTGGTAGCAGGCGTGACAGGACTTGAGCTGTCATGGGCTCCCTCTCTGGAACATGCGTCGCATACGGCGACGCGAGGCGCCTGACACTCTGCTACGCCGCGGCCCACGACGCCGTGAAACCGCTGCGCCTCCTCCTCCGAATCGCCTCCCGATCAGGTCTGCTCGCATCCGTTCTTCCATTTACTTGTTGCGCTTCAATCTTGCTCTCAATCTTGCTCAAGCTCGATTCAATCTTGCTCGATTTTATGCATCAATCGTTATGCTCGTTATGCATCAAATCTCTTTAAAGATGAAAGCTGAAAAGTTGCACCATGAATTGAAAGATGCGCGAGGAGATGCAATGCCTGAAAATCGCGGATCGTCGAATTTTATCCAAGCTACCATCCGCCCTTAAGAGAAATTTTGCGAAACCTCGTTTGATAATCGCATTTAGACGCGCCTAAGCGGCGCACTGCTCGCTAAACGGAGGGTAGTCCGCAATAAAAGGAGAATGAAAGGAGATTACCCAAACTGAGGCTGAAGATCGAAAACAGCTATTCACGTGCTTGAGACACGCAAGAACTCTAGTCTACCCCAATGTATGGGACTCATCTGAGAACACGGCACCTGGATTTTGCTGCAGTTTGCAACCCACCTATCGGGTTCCATGGGTTAGCAAGTCACCCGAGAGCAGGAAGAGCAGTGGCAAGGATGCGAGAGAGCCACTGCGGCGCCCGAAGCAGCACGGGCACATAGCGACACTGCAGACACACGCAGCCATTGCCGTCCTCCACCAGCACTTTAAAGATGAAAGCTGAAAAGTTGCTCGGGAAAGAACGCAGGAGATGCACTGAACACCAGTGCTACCATCTAAAGAAGAGCGGTTCGTTTGATAATCGCTAAAGCACTGCTTTCGTATCAATGGAGATTCCAAACGGCTGAAGGAGTGGAGATCTCCTGTATAGGCTCATCTGAGAACACGGCGCCTGGATCTGCTGCCGCAACTCCTATCGAAGGCGACAGCAGGAAGAGCACGGAGGAGCAGCGAATGAAGATGAGTTGACGCGAGGGGCACACACACCAGTGCCGGGCGGTGCGGTCTGGAACCCGCAACAAACCAACCCGTATCTAACCCGTAGACGCGGTTTTCAGCAGGCTGGTTTGATGGTTTGGTCCGGTTATCTAATATTATGCAAGATTTACGACTTTTAACTTTCTGTCATTCATTTCGGGAAGGCCAGCAAACTAGAAGTACCAAGAGAACAAGAATGAATGTAGCAAACTGTGAGTGATTTGTGTAGTTCATCTTGAGCAATCTCTGAGGATATTGGCAGGCAACATTCAATTCACATTCAAGTGCTAATTTGTCCCATTAAAAGATGGCGCAACAACATAAATTGCACAGCAGATTCTATAAACTAAAAGACAAGGAGGAGAGAGTTGGGAAGACTTAACTACCTCCTGCGCTGTCTTCATCAGTGGTAAATTTCCAAAGTTCCCTTGCAGAGAGGTTATGAGCCTGTAGGCGATGAGCAAAGGCTTTCATCAATGGAGTATAGCTATAATGTTTTTCACGCATACACATTTCAGAACACATAGATTTTCTATTTCATCAAGTTCCTCACTGTAGCTACAAACGTGCGAGGAATGTACATTTTATTTTATCAAAAACACAAAAGATTATTTACTGAGTTCAGGGTAGAAACCTGTTGATTTGATGTATCATCATTTTCTATCGCTTTAGCAACCAAGGAAATGCAGTGCCCAAGCCCACTAAGGACACTGTTAAGTTTATTCCTATCATGTAGGTTGATTCTGTCATTGCTCAGTACGGCAACAAAGTTGTTGAAGGTCTGTCAGAAAAAGATAATACAAATGAAACTATAAGTTGGTAATGGATATGGTCAGCAAATATACAATTTCTAGGAGTGAGAAGCAATTCGAATAAAACATATATTCCTTAGTAGGTATAGTTACTTGATAAAACCTGGACTATGAAACAAGTTGTGGTAGTTAACAGATGCAAGTTTTAGAAAAAAGTACTCTCTCCATAAATTATCATTTGACACTGGTTAGTACAACTAATTAAGCAATAGAAGCAAGGAATATACATCTCCCAGCAAAATAATTTTCTCAGAACAATAGAAGTGTCTCATCATTCAATACACCAACTGTGAAAGCAGCTCACTTACCTGTTCAGCATAACTAGAAAAGGATGATGGGAAATTAAGAACCACAAGCTCCAAAAATCTGAAAGCCATTAACTGGATATCCACAGAGAGATGGGTCGTTCCATTCAGAATATTAGCCATCAGCAAAAACAGTGTACTCCGCATAGATATAGCATTATCCTGTAAGCAGAAATATAGTCTCACATCTGAAGCCAAAAAGCTAGAAAATTTAACTGGGCAAGGCATAACAAAGCTACGCAAATAAAGAACGATGTGCTTGAAATGGCCAAAAATAAAAAGATAAACTTCTATGATATATTTGTGAATGCAACAAATAAGCAGGCATCATACTGTGGTTAGTAGAGAGCATGATACCCGCCGCACAAAAAAAAAAAATGATGATACCACACGAACAATATTAATTGTTAGTTTGTTACTGTTGTATTTACAGAAAACTGGAATGTCAAGATGCAATGCAACATGTAAGAACATCATGAGTATCCATTTCAATTAAAAGATCTATCTAATCAAGGCAAAAGTAGAGAAAAGGGGGAGAAAGAGATATACCTCTTTCAAAGATGGGAAGATCAGAGACTGCAGTACATTGTATAGTGATTCACGGACCACCTTGTCGGTATCGCATATCCTTTCCTGAAGCTTCTCAATTATAGCAACCTTGTGCAGTTTAAGCTCTGTTGGGTGCTTGACAATAATGTCCTTTATTCCATTCAGTGCAGCTTCAACATAAAGACAAACATATACACAGTAAGATGCTAAGGACGCATTGAGCATCATGTTATTTTATCCAATGTGTCATCGTACAGACTAGAGAAAAAACTCACCTCGACGCACATTGGCATTGTAGTGCCCTGTCTGCTGCAGGAGCTCCCGCAGCGTGAGCCCGCGCTTGTTCACTGCCATGCCCATCCTCTCCGAGGCCATGCTCTGCTCCGGCAGCACGATAGCTGGACGCACACACAACACGAGTTCACAATATAAAACCTAAAATTGAAGGGAAAAAAGAATAGAAAAAAGGTTGCCTTGGCTGGCGTACCTTTGGACTTGATCTCCGTGTTGGTGGCATTCTTCGGCGGCGGAAGCTTGCGCCCGACCTTATGCTTGTACTTCTGCAACCGCCAGAAAAAGGCTTAACACGGCGACCTAGAGTCAGGTCTTGGAGAGAGCGCAGAATCGGTGGGCTGGTGGTACCTTGAAGTCGACGCCGCCTCGCTGTTTCTGCTTCGGCTTCGGCTTCTTCGAGGAGGAGGAAGCGGCGCCACCCTTTGGGCGCCCCATGGCGCTGGTATGGGAGAGCAGTGCTCACTGCGCTGGCGCTTCGAGGGCAGTGGCAGGCCCAGGATTTTGGGGCTGGATATTTGAAATGTACAGCGATATAAAAAAATCACAACCAAAAACTAATATTTGACATGTATAAATGCCGCATAGCTGAAATTGCATAATATTTATAGAAAATATATAACACATAATTGAGCATGAACTGAAAATTTTTAACACATATTTGACTAAGTAATTTGGGAACAAACTCTAACTCAGGCTATGATTCACAGATTGCTATTCCTAACAAACTGAATGTCTCAATTTGAACTTACAGAATGAGTGAAATTCAGACTCGCGCCTCCCTAGTCGTTGCTGCGCTGGTGCTGGTGCTGCCGCCCTCTGCCGTCCGCCCGATGCGCGGCCCTGAGTGCCCCTGCCGCTGCCGGTGAGCCCCCGTCGACGCCGACGCGCTCCCGACTGCAGTGGCGGCTCGCGGCTGCCCTGCGCCCAGCACCCCTGCCCGCCACCGGCCGCCGCAACCTGCTCGCTAGGGTTCAGCCGTTCGGGGAGAAAACGAGAAGCAGGACGAGTGCAGCTGTGCCTGTGCGGGAGGGGCTGAGAACAGGCGGAAAGGCGGCGGCGAGGCGGCGGCGGAGGCGGGGAGGCCTTTGCCGGGATGGACAGGCAGACCAAGAGGGAGGGTTGAGATATGTAACGGCCCACAGGCTGACAGGCCCATAGCATGCGGCCTGGAATAGAAAAGGAAACAATTCGAACCGGGATGAGATTGAGAAGAGTCTAGCAATTTTTTGAGCACGCCGCGGTCGTCCGTCGGACGGACGGACCCGCCCGAGTCGCCCAAAGCCCGCACCGGCGCACCGCCTCCGTCCGCATATGGCTCAGCGTCCACAGGTTCCTAACCACAGCCACTATCTCCCTTCAAAAAAAAAATAATAATCACCGCTGCAACTGTCATGACATCCTCTTCTCCTTCCCCCGTACATTCAGCGGCACCCCTCCTCCACGTGTGTCTTCCTTCAAGCCCGACGGCCTCCATAGCGTCCCCTCCCCCATCTCCATGGCGGCTGCGACCCTCCCCTGCGTCTCATCAAATCTGGCTGGCTGGCTTGAGCACGCCATTGACCCTCCCCTACCCCGGCTGGCGGTGCCCTTTCCAAATCCGGCAGCGTCTCCTCTCCCTTGGTCGATGACGGGCATGACGGGGGCATGTGGGAGCGCACCATCCATCGCCGTAGCGATCCACCTCACCCGTCGCGGAAGGGGAAGCAGGGGAGGCCTGCGCCTGTGCCCCCATCCACCTCGCATCGTCGGCAGGAAGGGGAGGCCTGCTCCACTACAGTCCCCCACCAGGTAGGTCATGGCCGTGCGGCAAGTGTTTCTAGACGGTTTTCAGACATGTTGCAGGAGTATGTTTTAAGTGTTTCAGATGTTTCATCTGTTTGTTGCAAGTGTCGTATGTTGCAAGTGTCTATCCCCAATGTTTCATCTATTTTTTGTATATGTATCTTTACAAGAGTTTCAAACGCATGTCTCAAGTGTTTCACCTGTCTTCTTTCGCATATTGCAAGTGCTGCATCTAGATTTTTGAAAAAGTAGATCGGAATGTTTTCACATGTTGTAATGGTGTTTCAACTATATGTCATAAATGTTTCATCTGTTTTAGACGTATATGTTGCAAATGTATCATTTGGATATTGCTAAAAGTATATCTGGTGTTTGAATGTTGTAGTGGAACCCATAGCCACCTGCTTTGGAGCTGCTGGGCCCGCGTGCATGCGTATGAGAACGGAGGGGCGTGGGCGGCAGGTGTGGGAAACGAGAGCGGGCACAGATCGAGGCATGTGCGGGGTACGGAGCGACGTGGGCCCCCACATAAAGCACGCAGGCGCGCGGGACGCTAGCGTCCGAATCGGACGTCCGGACACTAGCAGTTTCAAAAAAATCACATATAATTTAGCAAAATTCATTTAGCAATTCAAAAAACTACCAATGTTTATGACTAAAGTTTTGGCAAATTTCTAGAAACTTCTTAAGCTACATAAAAGAGAAAATTGGCAAGCCTTTAATTTTGGCAATCAACCAAATACACACCTATATTTTTTTGCCATAACTTTGATAAGCCTTGATTTTGGTCAGCCTAAATTTTGGCTTGCCATGATTTTAGTTAGGCAAAAATTGGTAGCCAACTAATCAGGTCCAGAATCACGCGAGCTGTTGAGGCAGGAGACCGGGAGATCAAAGGGGAACACCTGCCCACTTGGACTTGAATCCGACACCAAGAGTTCAGAGGAAACACCTGTTCACTTCTTTTTTCAAACTAATATATATATATATATATATATATATATATATATATATATATATATATATATATATATATATATATATATATATATATATATATACCCGTGCGTTGTATGGGGTCACAAATTTTTGTCCACATCTACTGTGAAGAATTTAATCATTTTTAGAAAATATAAAAAAAACTATTACACAGATTTGCATCGGTAATCTAAACTATTTCCAAATGTATTTAGGTTTTTTTGATCGTATTCAAAATAATTCACGCGTATGCCAATTATTTTGTTCCAGATCGAGTACGTCCCTGACATTGAGTCTCTACCGGTCTGCACATGCAAATTTTTATTCCTGACTTTGGAGTTGACAATTGACAATTTTAAGGCTTTTTAGATTGACTTTGGAGTAGACTGTCTATGAGTTTTACATGTCCTTAGGCTTTTCAATATTTATATTTCATACGAAATGACATGGTTACACTCTCTCGTCGAAAGGAACTTAACAAATTTTGAATTATAACTTTTTGGTTTGATTTTGATGTTATATATTTTATAAGTTTCAGTCAATTTTGTGCATTGTTTGGGTATAGGTAAGAAGCTAACAAAACATTTTGTATTGGGAACCCTGAAGTTTATGTAAATCTTAAGATCAACTTTTACTATACATTTGTTGTTTATATTCCTTTGCATTTTTTTCATCTGGAACCCTCCACTTTTTTCTATTGTTGCCATCAGCTCGAATTAGATCATCACGAACTCACATACTCTTAGAACAGCCGGTATGTGGCCGGCCAAGACTAACCTCCCCGCCGTCGTGACCCTCGACGGCCGCATCACTCACGCCCATTGCCTCCATGGTCACGATGTTCGCAGCATGGCGAGGCAGTGACACAGTAGCAGCCAGCGCCCCCAATGACGCCTGTGCAGCGAGCGGCGTGGATTACTGATATGAATCGAGTTTGTGTCCCGTACGTGTCGTACAAGTTGGGAAGGGGTCACGCTTGGTGGACGTGGGCTTGCGGGCGGTACGGGGGCTTGCGGTTGCAGGTGGGTGAAAGCACTAGTTTGGTTTGGATAATTAATGAAACCTATTTGGATAATCCTTGTATCTAGAGTGTGACTAGATAGGATGGTCCAATCCAAGTGATGGAGCAAGTGAATGATGATCATGATGGTGGTGGAGGCCATGGTGATGATCAAGTGCTCAAAGCTTGGAAAAGAAGAAAGAGAAAAACAAAAAGGCTCATGACAAAGGTACAATTGATAGGAGCTTTTTTGTTTTGGCACTCAAGACACCTAGTGGGTGTGAGTGTGTTTATGATAGATAGTCATACTATTAAAAGGGATGAAACTCGTCGTGAAATGCGGTTATCAAAGTGCCACTAGATGTTATAATTCGTTGTATATGCATTTAGATTATAGTGAGTACTAACACCCTTAAAAATGCTTTTGTAAAAATGCTAACACACATGCACAATGGTGATAAACTTTATGGTTAACACTTGGGAGCAGGGGTGCAGAAGTTGGAGAAGAGGAGGCGCTGTTTTAAGCGACCGGACTCTAGCCTCGGTAGGACCTGACCCTGCCGGGAGCGTCCGGTCAGTCGACACAGAGAAGGGCACAGCCTCGGGTCTTGACCGGACCCTGCTGGAGGTGAGCGACTGAACACGCAGGAGTTACTGTTCCCACGTCCGGTCATGGTGACGTGGTGCGCAGGTTGAAGGCCAGAGAAGATCGGATGCTGAGCGAGTCTGGTCACCTTTGACTGAACGCGTTAGGTCACGAAATTTCCTCTCTAGATGCTTATTGGACTCGACCAGACTCTAAGTGATGCTGCGTCTGGTCACAGGGAGGCGAGTCCGGTCTTGGCATAAGCTGGCGCGAGGGCGCGCGTGAGCGGACGCGGCGTTGGCGCGTCCGGTCACAACTTAAACGTTCGCGCGTTGGCTGGTGACCGTTAAGATCGTGCGGTGGATTTTAAACGAAGGGGACGCGTGGCAGCCGATGCTTGACCAGACGCTGGCTCGGGTGCGTCCGGTCACCCTGACTAGCTAGTCCGGTCAGCGTGCAGCAAGCCCAATGGTGAGCCTAACGGCTCTATCTCTATGGGAGCTCTATAAATACATGGTAGCCGGCTTGGGCTCGCTCTCTTAGCCATTTCTATTGAGAATACACCCTAGTGAGCCTAGCCATCCCTCTCTAACTCATCTCGCTTTGATTCATCATTTGGTGACATTGAAGAGCATCCAAGTGCATTGCTTTGAGTAATTGTATCTAAAGACACTTGCTGATTGTGTTTCACTGCGGGATTCGCTTGTTACTCTTGGTGGTTGCCGCCACCTAGATGGCTTAGTGCATCGAGGATCGTCGAGCGGAGAAAGATGCTTGTCTCTGGGTCCGATCATGATGATTGTGAGGAGTTCTTGAGCCTTCTCGTAGAAGATCACGAAAGACATCTTTAGTGGATTGCTCGTGGCTTATGGATTCTCATCTTGTGTTGATTGTGCGGCACCTAGTTACGGGTTAGACGTGTGATGCCTATTAGCGCGTGAACCTCTAAGTGAGTGAATCGTCACAACGGGTACTAGCTTGCCGGCAAGCAAGTGAACCTCGGTAAAAAATCACAGTGTCATCTTGTCTTTGAGGATTTCATTAGTATTCATGTGATTGATCTCTTGCCCGGCATTGGTATACATCCCC